AAACCGACGCCAATACTATACGCCATACTTAGCATAGGTGAACCTCGGGATGACATTTGACACAAAACTGGAAAGCAGACGCCGAGCGTCGCTTCGACTGATCCGAAACGTAAATAAAGTTAACAGGAACCTCGCAGCAACTGTGACAAACCGACCCCTAACATTGGCTCGCCAGTCGCCGCAGGACGTACGTAAACAAATGGTGAGGATATCATTTATTCAGAAAAGAAATGAAGTGGTACTAAAGGAACTACATAATGAAATGCCTTTCGCAACATATTCGAGTGCCTCTTACCACACCTCGATCGGCCTCCGTCTGCATGTAATAATTGTATGCCGAAGCAATGAGGTAAAGGTGGGCCCAAATGTTTATAAGATGATGATTTCTTGAGCAAGAAGAATACGACGTTAGTAAAAAATATCATCATTAAATTTTTATCCTGTTTCTTTCGTGTGTTTATTTGTTTCCTGTACCATGAACACACATGTATGAACGAACGGACGTTAAACTCTGTGGTGCTTTTAATTAACCTAGGCAGGCACTAGTTGAGGCAATCTCTGGTATCCGCTGAATAGCGTTGAGCAGGCAGCAGAACCTGTCTGGACGTAAAAGCAGTAACAGAAACTGTAGGCACTTCGTTGTCGCTTTATTGACTCAGCTGTCGGAACGTCTATATTAATTTCTAAATTATCCCAAATGTCAATTTAACTATAAAGAAATTCGGTAGATTTCATTTTGTAATTGGATTGAGATTCCAGGTTTTTATGGCGCTGAAAATAATTACGGATTCCGCTGTTTTTCTTGTTATGCGAGATTTTCAGGAGACAGTGACAGCGACTAAACGCCTGACAAGTTGATTGACAGCTTGGCGTTACATAAGTTAAAATTATTTAAGTTTACTTAGTTTTTTCTAAGCTGTGTCAATATCTACGTGTTCCTTTACAATGAAAAGGCGAAGAAACCATTTATTTGTAATGTCTTGAAGTGATATGTATCTAACTAGGATTAATTTTCTCCGGTGGGGATATTTGCAAGAGCACGTTCACGCAGTCCCACGCAGGACCTTCGAAGATATCGTGGCAAGATTTTAAGCCACTGTGACAGTGGTCAAAACCAACATGCTAATGTGTGTTCGAGAGAATGCCATGGGGCGTACTGTCGTCTGCCTTGAAATGGACGGAGGCCGCTTCGAACACCTATTGTAACTACGAGGCGCCCATGGTTTGATCATCTGATAGCTTTCGCCATTTGAAGTGTATCTTGAAAACTAAACGTCACAGGACATAGGTTGTATTTTATTTTCGACTTGCACTACGGCGAGCTTGTATGCGAATTTCGTGTCAGCCTGTATATTCTGAACTAATGACAGCGTCGATAAATAAATAAATAAGTACAATAAAACGCTGCATGTGACAAAGAAATATTACGAGAGCTTTTTTTTTCCAAACGTTCCTTGAATTACAGTTCGTCTTGCAGAAGGCAGTGAGTGGTGTCGACGCAAAAAAGCCCCCTAAAGGCCACGAAACGCTAGACCGTCAGATTTTGACACAGATACGTGTTAAGCTGCAGGTAAGGCAAGTCCCTTTACGATCAAGTGTGTCACAGAGAAAGTTACGGTGGCGGACAATTGTGTTTCTTACGTGAAATGCCAATACTGCGCACCACACTGTATTGTGTAATAACGCAAAATTACAGTAACAAGTCCATAAAACAAATCTTCCTGTTACGTCACATACCCCCACTCCTCCCTAGAATAAAGCAACAGTTTAACAAAGGTTTTCACAGTTACTTAGCAGGTAACTTCAAATTGTTTAATGTACTGGTAAATGTCCAAGAACAAATAAAAAACTAATTCCAGGAGACTATCTCCCTTGCAAAGAAAGCGAGTATCTTCACGTGTTACACAATTTCCTGCTTTTATTGAAACCGAATACGTGCCACCTTTTTAAAATTAATTCCATTGGGCTGTATCTTGAGCAGATGAGTTCAGTCCATGAGTCTATTCACATTTCTCCGAGGTCCATTTTAATAGTTTCCTCCTTTCTACGTCTCGGTCTTGTAAGTCGTCTTTCCCTTTTAGCTTTTCCGACCAAAATGTTAATATACGTTTCTCATTCCGTCTTGTGTGTTAATCGTTCCGTCAATTCCTTCATTCTTGATTTAATCTTTTTCATAGCAGGGCTGTTATATGAAGAGTACAGTTTATTAGGCGCCCTGATATCCTCAGTAAATTCACCCCCGGTTAGCGTAAACACACCGTCGTTTCGTACACAGGAATGGTGTTATCTAGTAAGGGACGATGTCTTGCGATTGCACAGGTTTCCGCCTTAGTTAGCTTTTTGGTTGGTTGGTTGGTTGTTTTTGATTACTAAGCTCAGTCCCTCCAGACCACTATCTTACAAAAGACAAATATTCATGACGCCGACATTAATTCTGAACATGACAATCCTGAATTGAAGGGTCTGCGGGAGGCATACGTTCGCTAAAAACGACGCCAACGAGATCCAGGAAGGAAATTCGATTCAAGAAATGTAAAATGATGTTTGTTGAAGTGTTCAAGGTGTACTCAAGTCCTGAGTACACGTATTTTCCAGATACGTATTTTGTATTGTATAATATACAAAAATGTATTTGATGTTTGTTTATGCAAAGTAGCAAAATCTTCCAACAGGCACTTTCACAATTATTCCAAAACAAAGCATAATACTGTGTCTGTATTTCTTAAAACAAGTATCTTTAATGTCCCAGCTTTCCCAGAAGACGGAAATCTTCATACTCACCGCTGTGAAAACCTCAAATCTTACATTTCTAACCTTATTAAATTGTTGAAAGAATTGATATACTTGCCGGGCTAGACGATGTTTTCTCTAGCCTTTGTTCAGACCGGCTCTGGGGCCCACCTATTCTCTTACCCAGTGGCTGCCGGAGTCCTTAATCGGGGGTAATGCGCGCCCCGTGTGTGACGCTGACCACTCCCCCCTATTTAGTGCCTTGGTTTGGAATGAGTAGGAGCTGTGCCCTTCTCTTCCCCCAAGCGCCTACATGACTTATAGCCGGACAGCTTTGCTTTTGAAACCTGTGGAATCGAACCCTGGTACGCTCATTAGCTTCGTCCTGTCTGTCTGTCCGCGTGTAACAACTCGAGAACCGCTGGACGGATTTTCATGAAATTTTATATTGTTGAGTTTTGCAAAAATCTTTCCGACACATTCCGACTTCTGTTAAAATCGGGCAATAACAACGGGCACTTTACATGGCTCACTAAATATTCATAGGAGCGTAAAATGTTCTCAAGAAAAGTTGTAGAGGAGATGAAACATATTCTTTTCCAGTGTACGTTTACTAAGTCTTGCGGTTTTCGAGATAATTCAACAATATTTAGAACTCACGAATTGAAAACTAGATCAAAAGCGGTAGAATTGTTAACGTTACCTTTTTATTTTCTAGCTTGAGTACTATGAAACTTAAAGGTTGGTCGTCTGATAACTAGAAGAAACAAGAGGAAAGGAGGCCAATGAACGAAAATATGTTATATAATTACATTGTTGCAAAGGTGAACAATCACACTGTAGACATGAGACTGCGTAGTCAGAAACTTTTTCTCGTGTCTCTTCTAGTATTCACTACGCCTTAAAGTGTCTATTGATGATAAGTACGGTAACTAACTGCATGAGAACAGTACACTTGGCTATGTCTTCTGAGTGCTGTATTTCCTCTTGTAAATATTAATTATGTAATACTATATAATTTCATTTATCAATTTATTTATTACGATCAGTTATTTTTATAAATTCAGTGAAGTTAAGCTTCGTATGGTGTAGATCAGTGGTATTCAACCTTTTTTGTTCGCGTACCCCCAGATATAATTTCTCTTCAACTTTGTACCCCCAAAGATATTGGTGTATAATTCAAGTTATACATAGTATATAATCTACATCTAAAATAAATTAAATAAATTACATTACTGATTATTCAATATTTATTATAAAATATTTTTATTTTATTTTTTAAATTTCACGTACCCCCTAAGATGTCTTCGCGTACCCCAGGTTGAATACCACTGGTGTAGATTATGGATAATGCTGAACAGATACGAACTACGGCTAAATATTATCGCATCTGAATCTAATATTTTGTCAAATAGGTCATAAAAGTAGTACCAAATTACATGTAATGCAATGGCAAAGCGCTTGAGACAGTCCCAACCACAGATGTCACAACTGTTAATCATCCTTGTTGCCATGCGGACAAGTGATGGATTTTGTTTCGATGTGAGTGACATCCAGTGAGCAGATTCGAGATTGACGTTGGTTTTGAGTCTCACCCCGTCCGAACAGTGGCTAGCAGGCCTCTACTTGCGCTAAACCTGCATGTGATTTTACTTCGTTTTAGTGAGCGATGTTTTCTTGTGTGTTATAACGTGTCGACCGATTATTATTTCATTTGCTTTGTGATAAACAATGATTCATAATAGTGTTCCATGTAATTAAATGCGCTGGAAGACTTTGGGACATTTGAAAGGTGAATGAATATTGTGGTCGTATAATGGAGCAGTTCCTTGTATCTTCAGTCTGCAAGAGAATAATTGAAGTACTTGCTACAGACGTTTATTTGCAAAATATTAATATCTCACAAAACGCATTACAAGTTTCCTGAAGTAATAGCATCGAATTGTTCATACTGTAATCGGAAGAATGTAATTTGTAGGAGGGTTTTTTGAGTGCTTCTGATATCGCCTATATATATATAGTGAACCTATCGTATCTTTTCTGATTAATTCTTTAAAATAAATGTTAAGGTAGGTCTGCGTTCTGTTTGTCAAAACATCAAATAAACTTTTTATTAGTAATTTTATGAGCCAAATGTAACAGGCGGATTTGTCTCAGAGGGCTTCAGTCGGATGCCGTTGTCTAAAACAATGTCGATTTTGAAAAGCTACACGGAATAATGTATGTCACGAAAGAAACTGACTGTTGATTATGTTTTTTTTTGGAAGTAATTTGTCTCTACGCTGCCTCATTAGTACGGCTGTCACTCGGATTTTGTCAGATGTTGGCCATGAAGCTGACATTGCGTGGGGATTAAATTCATTGCCCCATACGCCGTCATTGGATGGAGCTTAGACACGACTAAAGTCTCGCCTACACCTTTTGATAAGTTGATACAGTCTGCTTTGAATATCTGACACAGAAGTTTCTTGAAGAAACTGACGTATTTTTCTTAATGGAAAAGTAAGTGTCCTTTGTGTAAGAAATTGAAAGCTCGATTAAAAATTTGTTTTTTTTTTCTGTATGAACATTGTATTTTTACAATGAACTGGCAAGATTCGGATGTCACTCGTGTCTTGTTCAGTGTTCATGAAGGCTCCACAAATAATTCAGTCCTACCCCTGCGAGTTATAATTATACGACCCTTTCAGTTTTAACTTTTCATATGTTAATTACAGAAAATAGTGTAATCGTAAGAAATACTTTCCCAAAAACAGTTAATTTGATGCAAATGCAATGTTTTATTCCCTTGCAGGCCTGTACTCATTTACTGTTACCACTGACTGTGCTTATGCCTCGGTACGAGAACACCAGCTTACGTATTTTTTTTTTGTATTCTGTGTACTACATTTACTTGTGTACATTCCGTGCCATAATATAAAAACTTGAAAGACGAAAGAGTGAGATTTACGATAGTACGCGTAAACCGCTTGTAAACATCTGACAGACATAAATTACTTGTTTCGTTGTTTGTGGATCTATGCAAGCAACCTTAGCATTTACTAAAACAAAATTAATCTGAAACCACAAACTACGTTATTACTTGTTTCTAAATGACTCTGTATTATTGTGATACATTCGATTTGTTGGTGCAGCTGATAAAGTAAGCGAGTGATATCAGTTTTTAATAAATAATGTGGGTGTCGACAGCTTATTCATAACAGCATATAAATTGTTCAAGTTTGATCAGAAGCGTATTTTAGAACGGCGTAAATATTTATTGTGATCTCTTCGACGTTTCAGTTCTTGCGAAAAATATTTTGCCCTATTCTATGCACTCAACTTTGGAACACAACAGACTACCACGAACTTAAGAAGTGCGTTTATCTGTTGTTACACCTTCTACATACGGCGACCAAAAATGAAGTTATTACGTACTGTTGTGCTGCGAACACAAAATATTATGATCGTGGATTTGAGAAGACTGTGCTTTCAATCACCATATTAGGGTCTGTGGTAAGCCCTACTCGTGGACTTGCATACAACCAAAGTGACTTGGATCTGACCACCTGCTGCAACGCCGTCTATTGGAAATTTAACTTCGCTTCTTGGATCATGACGGGAGGAGCGACGAGTAAATCGTGAGTAAAATTTAGTGATGCATATAAAACACTTTGTTGATGATTATGAGTACGTACAGTATGTGTAGTTGCAACGTATCATCTGACTTCTTTCCGCCAGCAAGTTTCAAACACACGCGATGACCGTGAGTGATTTTCATGCCTGGACATGTACATCCTAACGCGTTTAGCCAATCCTAGCAATTTAGTCAGCTTTGAGATGGCAGAATGTTTGTTCATACAGTAGGTGTATGGTTTAATTCGTAAGTGTTTAGGTTTTTCATGTTCAAAATATTTTGTCTTCCCGTCTGATTTCTAAGAACCTGAAGATTAAAATATACAAAACAATAATATTGCCTGTTGTTTTGTATGGGTGCGAAACATGGTCTCTCACTCAGAGGGAGGAACACAGATTGCAGGTGTTTGAGAACTGGGTGTTGAGGAGGATATTTGGGCCTAGGAGAGAAGACGATGGGGCCTGGAGAAAACTGCATAATGACGAACTTAAAAATTTGTACTCCTCCCCCAATATTGTCAAGGTGATTAAGTCAACAAGAATGAGATGGGTGGGTCATGTGGCGCGCATGGATGGAGTAAGAGGTGTGCACCGGGTATTGATTGGGAAGCCTGAGGGGAAGAGACCGCTGGGAAGACCTAGACGTAGATGGGAGGATAATCTCAGATGGGATCTATGAGAGATAGGAGTTGAAGGAGACTGGATTTTGTTGGCCCAGGTGAAGGTCATTGATGAATTCGGTGATGAACCTTCGGGTTCTGTAAGCCATCTAGTTAGTTATGTTTTGCACACCACACGGTGCACGTCTTGACGGGTTTAGTGATCCTAGCCCTTTGGATAGTCTTCAGATGAAAAAATGCACTTTTATTTAACAGGTTTTACTTTATAGCTTTCGTGTTTTTCATACCATTGGATATAGCCTTGCAAATTAAGGGTTTAGTGGGCCAAAACCCTTTAGTTTGTCTTCAGATAGCAAAAGAAAATCCACAATCATTTCTTAGGATTTAGTCTTTAGTGTTTGTTTATGACCCCGAATTTTTTCCAATTTTATCCAAGCGTTCATCTATTTTCCATCGTGTGTAATCATCCTTAATGCTTTTCCATCTTCCACTTTCAGCAGTTTCTTCTGTTTCTTTCTTGTCTGAATGAAATTTATTTTTGTATATAGTAACATATATCAGGCTGTGTATTTACACTCTGTTTTCTACGCACAAGGATATTTGTGAAGAGGGATGCTATCGAAGTAACAGTCGCGCATTTAAATTCCGTTCCGTGGGCAAAAGACAAGCTAGCATGGAAAATGTATTCCGTTCCGGAATGTACGTAGTATCTTCATGTGTTCTTTGAACGAGCTTTAGCGGTATTACGTCTATCTTGTTCAATAGTTTCCACTTCGGCTACCAGATTGCAGCACCTGAAAGTTTACCTCACCAATTTCCTCCTTGTGACCGCTTGTAGGATATTTAAAAGTACGATTTTGATTTCGTGCAGAATGGGACAACCTCCATGTAAAATTTAATCCCAATCCGTCCACAGCTGAATCAACTGGATGGGCGGACGGACAACACGACCAGTACTCTCTGTGTTTTTCGTGCAAAGAATGCGTAATAACGACGATGCAAGATTTGATAGTATAAGTGCAGTTTACTGTGGGGGAAGAAAACGAAAAGAATTATGTTGGGAAGTTCTGTGTCCGAAAGGTGAGACGGCGAAACAAAGGACGATGCGTGATCCAGCATTTCCAAATTCAATAATTTGCATTCATTGGCACAGCTCCGATATAAATTACAAGTATACTCCAGTTTACGCGACAGTTGCATATATCGCGTAAATCAGAATATGCTCTTCCTGTAGAGTGACCATGTTCATGTCGATCGCGTGTGGTTAAAATGCGAATATTAAATAAATTACCAATTTAAAGTAACAGTTAAACATTCACTCTCGAATATTAAATAAATTACCAATTTAAAATAACAGTTATACATTCACTCATTACTGGATGAAATTGCACTATATGTTTTCATTTATTCAACTACAGGTTTGCCTGTGAACACTGTTCAGATAACTCTAGTGGGTCATATAAGTAACCAAGAAAATTATAGCTTGGAGTGTAGGTTATATATATTTACATTACAATACAAAATGTTATAATTCTGAAGTGACTGGCTTTCGAATTTCTCCCACCGAACAACTCTATACTGTAGCCTTGCAATTTTATGTAAAAATCGTAATAATTAATATCGTTCGTCTACACAGCTATAAGTGATAACCGCTTTCCAGAAGTGAAATGAAGCAATCGTATATAAATGGCTGTCTTTTGGGTTGTAGCGCCGTGTAGTCTGGTAGAAGTTTACCAACCTTTCAGAGGTCCTTGCTGCCTCCATCATCAGGGCGATGAGTTATTCAAGGCCCTCTGAATGGTTGAAAACTTCTACCAGACTACACGGCGCTACAACCCAAAAGACAGCCATCTTCGGACGCACCGCTGTGAAAACCTCAAATCCTACCAGTCGTATACAGTCTGTCAGTGATGTATATGCATATCCAGTGACCAGTTATTTAGCTTATCTTAGCTTTTAGATTAGAACAATTGGATGTCATTTTATTGGGCTGATCTGTATCAAGGGCATTATGCCAGAAGTACGTACCGTCATATTTTCATAATGGCAGTTATTTCGTATAACAACATAATATGGTGCCCGCAATATGGACGTCTCCCAGGAACCTACCATGAAGGAAACTCTGCAAATATTTAGAAACTAACCTACGTTATTTGAAAAGTAGTAGGCTGACTATACTGCACATATTCAAATATTATCAGTACGCACAGAAAATAAAACATTTCGCTTGTCATGACGTGCTAGAATTATTACGTGTATAAACATTTTCATGCATATTAATGCTTGAAAACCTTATGCGACAAGTTTAATTCAAAGTAGTTTTCGGTGCTTTGAATATGTAACGAAATACAGTGAAAACTATCTCTGTACATTGTCGTCGTATCTACAGTGTTGTTAGCTCTACAAGAGTTTGTTTAAATTTTCAAAAAAAGGTTTACATCAGGAACAAATTGATATCAAATCCAATGAAGTATGTTAATTTGCAACAAACGACTTGGAAAATGTGTGCTCTACTGATATAGGATATGAGACTAGTTACTACGGTAACCAGTTGACGCGGCTGATTGCCAGAGATTGGCTACTGGTTTGCACGGTTCTAAATGGCGTTTCAGTTGCGTTAAATTGAAACAAATTCTTTTGAAATTGTTTGTATTCCGCTACAGTTTTTCACTTTTTTTAAAGTGACGTTTCATAGGTGCTTCCGACGCTACATAGTGCGAGCTACTGATAGTATCGTTAAATAAAATAGACAAACAGGTTGCATAACTTCGAATTTGCATGGTTCTCGGAAACGTGTTTTTAGGATATAATCAGATGACAAATAGAGATTTTCGTGTTATGTTTACAGATATTCCGTCATTGCAAGCTCGTGCACATACTGCCACAAGACTGGAAACCTTGAAACTACAGTCTTCGTAAATATTAGTTTGTCTGCGTTCCAGTAGCAGTTTCTAATAACACATGGTATTTGATTTCTCAGAACTTATTGCTTTTAGGGTCCTTACTACGTGTTAGAAAGTTGTGTTGTTCCTCGTAGTCAGTGTCATTCAGCATAAATCTACGGCGGATGGTCGCCTACGTCCTTACGCGGTCGAACTACATCGTACGTCTGTGGTCATGTTATCACTGCGATAACGATTCGACAATTCTTCAGTAAGAGTAATAACATTACTTTCTTGAGGTTTCAATTCCCAAAGCAGATTCATTGCATATTCTCCTGGGAAGATCCCTGTTGAGGTGTATTTCACTTTTAACTCCCATAATGATTGCCATTCACAAACTAAATTTACAAGTTTTCGTTGTCAGCTGTCATAGATGTATTTGTGATGTGCAAACATTGGGGAAAATAAAACACAATAGTAACTTAAAATACAGTTCAGAGTAAAGACAGTGAGCTACACATCGGTATCACAAGCAAAAGTTTCGTAGTTAACTGGGAAGCTGATGAAAACTATGGAGACGGAATAATACCCAAGCCAGGCTACTGTCTAGTATCAGGGGTGGCCAACCCAAATGATCTTTCGGGCCACTTTGGAAATGCATCATAACTCTGCGGGCCACATATAAAATTATATATCCCCATATTAGATTTAGATACACTATAGACATTTTTTTGGAGTGAAAAATTGAAACATAATGAGTTATTATTATTGTGTTTACTATTATTCTTACATGTAAACATAGATAATATAATAATAATGATACTAAGCGTACATTGTAAAGAAATATATAGCACTAAAAATTAAATATAAATATATTTTGTAAAAGTGTGATGAATCTCGCGGGCCGGAAAAATGTTCAAGGCGGGCCACATGCGGCCCGCGGGTTGGTCACCCCTGGTCTAGTTGATACCTGAGTTCTTCCAGGAGCGAAATGTGACCACTTATTGCCGTCTAGTTTCGAGATTAATAATCTCCACTCCCTCCTGCTGGTACATACAGGGAAATTTTACCTCACCTTCACCATTTTATATATAAAATCGGCTGGTGTCAGAATACTAGTGGATATTTTTTCAGGAACGACAACTTTTCCTTGAACCGCCTCCATGTTCTAACGACAATTCCTTGTAATGTGACGTAGACTGGACTTTATTACCGCAGACAACAGAGAATTGCTACTGAGAAGTGCGAGTAAGAAATCGTGAACTCTCTCTCTCTCTCCGATAACTGTGCATATGAAAGCCTTATATTTAAACTTTTAAGCATGAAGTAGGCTAAATCCATAATGAATCCCCCTTCACCTGAGCACTGAAATATAGTCATCTTTAGGGAGCTATTATATTAATTTTCTAGGTCTAGATTCACCATTTACAAATAAATTGTTACTTACGTGGGACAGACTGCGTACATCAGTAATTTTTACTGAAGGCCCTAACCATTGTAAAA